CCACCAACAAACTCAGTATTTGGCAAGGTGGGCCGAGGAAATTCCAGATCCCAGTAGGATCGAATGAGCCACATTTCTGCTTTTGCCATACTCTGTGATAATGTAGTGGGTCTCCCTAAATGAAGAAGGAAAACAAGGAAAGAATTAAAGAAAAAAAGAGAGACAGACAGTAAGACAGAGAGAGAGACAGAGAAGCAAAAGGAAGAAAGAAGAAAATGGTAGAAAGAAGGAAAAGAAAAAGACGGACAATAGAAATGGCATAGTAATGATCCAGCTATCTCTTATAATAAATGATAGATATGTTTCCAAAGGCATTTGACTAATTCAATTAATGGTACAACTAGAGACTTAGAAGATTTTGCAAACTGAATAAAAATATGTTAATTTTTAGATCTTATCACTCATACATGTGATTATTACTTATGCAAGCAGAACGTTTGAGTGGTTGTGTCTGCCTATGTACCTATGAAGGACTTAGAAAGGGACAATGATTACTGATGTCATCTACATTTATTCATAATAATAGACACTACAATGAAGTCCTCTTGATTTAATCATGAATTAACATGCTTTATATAACTGAGAGATTGGCAGATCTGAAAATAAACAATGCTTTTAGTTCTATCATTGAATTAAGCTACTATAATAATGGAAATAGCTTTCTCAGGAGTTCTCAAACTACTTTCTGCCATTTAGCATTCTGAATTTGATCCCTGATTGTCCAATTGAACTGAAAATTTCTGAAATGATGGCTGATTTATTGTACCTACTATTAATTTTCTTCATTTTAGTGGTTTTTTGATATCTGTTGTGTAGAAATAGGTACAAGCTAGCTTGAGGACATTCAGAAATTGTCAAAACAGAGATGTAAACTTACCAGCAGGTTTCACTCTTTTATTTTAAATGAAAAGACATGACTTTAACAAATGATTAATTACATGAATGTCCCAATTACTTAGAGAACATTTTTAGGTCTTTTCAGTGATGATTGGCAACTACCCAATGAAGTTAGGGCAAATCTCTAGTCCAAGGATATTGGTTGTCTGGATTGTGAGGAACCTCTTCATGTTATTTGGAAAATACTTTAATTTTAAATAACAAAACTTATATGCTAAAGGAAGAAATTTTCTCAGGATACACAGGAAAGGTACTATCCTTCCTAGCTGCATGCATTCATTCTAAGAGAAAGGAAAGTTTGTGATCAATAGAAACTTTTGATCACATATCAAACGGAACAGAAAAATAGGTATCTAATTCCACATAAAAGGCCCAAGTGTCTTACCCTTTAGGTGTTTAACCTGAAAAGTTATGTATTCTAACCCAGAACATTAATGTATCTTGTTAAAAAATAGATATGAGAATGAAATTTTCACATTTAATTTCATTATTTCATCTATAAAGCATAAATCTGTTATTGACCATGCATACAGGTTTCATCCAAAATACACAAGAGAGACTTGAGGAAATCAATACAAAAATGACTTACCTAAAATTTCACTGTAAAACTGACTCCACTTCTTCTCATTAAATGTCTGAAACCAGAAGTCAAAATACAGCAAGTGCAGCATATTTTTCACCCTCTCCATAAAAGTCATTTGACCGCTTAGTCTTGAGAAAATAATAGGTACATAAGAAGGAGGAAACAGAAGGCCTCCATTGTACTTTTCATATGTGTAGCCAGGAGTGAAGCGGACGGTGTACACGAAAGGAATTTTCAGTAATTCAGCCATCAGGTCCCCACCAGGAAAGATGGCATCTGCAAGAAGGACGTCAAACTTTGAGTCTTGTAATTTTGTCAGAAGTGTCTTGTTCAGAACTGCATTTTTAGTAATGTCATAATAAACATCAGAAAACCGCCAGTATATGACTTGCAGCTGTGGAAAATGTTTCCAGTAGGTGTCCTTTGGTACAGTATATATCCAGGAATCAAGCATTCGTTCAAAAAAAATCTTTATTTCTTCTGTGTTGGAAGATGTAGGAAAGGTTTCAAATTTCATATCAGATGGACTATTGAGATTAAGAAAAACAGAAGATGAAGGTTTGAGAACTGTCACCTCATGTCCCCGCTGTACAAGTTCAGTGAGGATCACCTTTATATTCAACCAGGGGCTATAATCCATGGGCCACACCAGCACTTTCCCACAGCTCCCAACACTAAAATAACAACACAAATGGAGCAGCAACAGATTTGTCTTCATTATCCTAGACATCTTGGTGAAGGCTCGTGCTTCCTGTCACAGTATTCTGCTTGCTGTAATTATTACTGATGCTTACTAGTGTTTATTTAATGTGAACCAATATGTTAAAATATAACTTTCATTGATCAGTGTCCTAGTTAATTTTCTCATTGCTGAGGCAACACATAAAACCCAAAGTTAAAGGGGGAAATGTTTCTATACCTCAC